AGGCTGAAGCAGTTAGTACCATGTATGCCCAGGGCACTGCAAGTATGACATGGTAAAAGCTCTCCAGGTGAGGGCAAGCAAGATGGCTCGATGGGTAGAGGTGCTTGCCACTAACCCTGAAAACCTGAGTTTGATCCATGGGATCCACATGGTAGGAGGAGGACTGACTCCTGCAAGTTGCCCTCTGACCTCCACAAATGTTCCCCCATTCTTAATCATACACAAACAGACTCAACAGGCAAATATGATCTTAAAACTTAATATAAGCTTTCCAGGTGATTGCAACATACAGCCAGGGTGCATACCACTACATTGGCATGAAGGTGACACTCCCAAAGCCAGAGGGCTGCTTAACTCAACAGCCAAAGGCTCCAGGGCAAACAGCTCTGCTAGGCCAGGGCTACTAAAGGCAGCTATAAAACTGAGCTGGGCTTGTGCTGAAGTTGGTGGCTTGCTTTCACAATCTCCCATTGCACGCTGGAATTAGTTACTTCTCTCAGTGCCATGACAAAATACCCAATTAAAAAGCAACTTAAGGTTTATTCTGGCTTATGGTCTGAGGGGATACAGTCCGCCATGGTGTGGGAGGGGGACATCATGACAGCAAGAACAAGCAGGGAGTCAGTCCCCTGCTTTCACAGGCAGGAAGCTGAAGAGAGGGATGCTGGTACTCAGATCACTTTCTCCTTGTAGTCAGCCCAGGACCCTGGGCTGGGGAACGGCGCTGCCAACATTTAGGGCTCATCTTCCCACTTTAGTTGAACTACTATAGACGCTCCCTTACAGACACTTCCAGAGGCTTGTTTCCCTTTGATCCTAAATCCTATCAAGTTCACAATCAACGTTTACCATTACAACGCCTTTGTCCTGACCATCGCTGGAGACATCCTTCTTAAGATTATTATATTTTAATTGTATGCAAGTCTGTGTCTCTGTGAGACGTAAGCAAGTGGGTACAGGTGCCCATGGAGTTCAGAGGAGTCAGATTCCCGCCCCCACACACACACCCGGAGCTGGAGTTACAGTCAGCTGTGAGCTGCCCAGTGTGGGTGTTGGGAACCAAACGCAGGTTTTTGAGAGATCGGCACACATGCTTAGCCATCCGGACCATCTCTCTAGCCCTGAAACTCTGTGCCCAAGGTGACATGAAAAATGGTGTAAGAGTCCATGTAAGTCACCCCACTACAGTACAGAGCCATCCTCTGAAGGGTTCACAGGACCTCAGCAAAGGAAGGAAAAAGGACCAAGCCTCTTCTGCAAGATCCACACAAAGCCAGGCATTTCTCAGAAAAAAAAATTACCTACTCAGGAACACTAGACATCCCAGTGAGCCCTCTATAATCCACAGTTAGGCCCAGTGGATCGGAGCTGTGGTCTTTTCCTTTTCGGCTATTCACACGGCAACCAGGACTCAGGATACAGAGCCCCCAACACCACATCAGGAGCCAGCAATCTTTTCTTAAGGTCCAGAGAACAGATAGCTCTGGCTTTGTGAGCCACTGACTCAGCTGCAGCTCGGTGCCCTCACTGTGACTCAAAAACAGCCACAGGCACTGTGACATGTGGGCGTGGCTTGCTCCAGTGCATTGTCTATAGTCACAAGAACAGGAAGCAGATGGACTTAGCCCACCAGACTGGTTGGCACACCCTTCCCATGGATCACAACTTTTTGACAAACATAAGTGTTTTCTTGTCCCTTGGCCACTTTGCACTTGACGTGGTGAGTAAGGTGGAAACTGGCTTCCACCAGATGCTGGCTGAATGGACAGGAGTGACTGGCTGAACAGACAGGTGCAACATGGCACAGTCACGCTAAAAGAGCATCTTTCGAGCACCTGCCTGAGCCAGTAACATTAAAGGAGCAGCTATTAGACATCTACCAGTTCCAACAGAGAACCTACAGAGGTGGGGTGACTCAACGTACCCAGGGACATGTACCCGAATCTCTGGGTGTTTGTTTCATTTGGGGGAGATGGTGGGGATTGAACCTGGGGCCTTGTACATCCTACATAAGTGCTCGTCAACTGAGCTGCATCCCATCTGGTGGCCTTTTCAGATTTCCCTCTTCACATCAATTTCACCATCTCCTTACAGGGACAATGGGAGCCTGCCTCATAAATAAGGACCAAATTCCCAAGGATACTCCAGCCAATCTGCACAGTGGGCCTGGGCCTACAAAGCAGGGCAGGAGAATTAAAGGGGAGTTGGGTAGCAATGCAGGCTGGCAGTAGGCCATCCATTTACACTAACTAGGTACAAGCAAGATGGGGAGGAGTGGGGAAAGGCAGAGGGGTGGTGACTATTCCGGAGATTCCAGAGGAAGGTCTCATGGACACTCGATTAGGGGCCACTCCACCTTGGGCACTCATTAGGGCAAGAGAAAGCAAGGAGCTCTCCCTCCAAAACAAACATGGTTACATCCCAGCACTGTGGAGGAGAGGGCAGCATAAATCATTTCCTCCCTCACACTATTTACAGTCACACTGGAAGTCTGAGCACGAAATCAAAAGGGAAAAGTACAGTAATAACAATAATCTATCTTCCCTTCTCTCTGTGCCTCGCCCCCTCATCTCGACATAGGCTGTTCTGGCAGTGTGGGTCAAGGGTTAGGATTGGTGAACAGGTCACCCTCCAATCCCTTGAGAGGGGGGAAGGAGGAAGGCCGGGGACAGAGATGCTGCCACAATACCCTTGGGCCTTCAGAGATTGCTAGCACTTGAGAGCCATGAGAGCCAGGCTGAGCCCAAAGATAGAAAAAGTGATAGGCTGGTATTATGCCAACCCTAAGGGCCTCACCCTTCACTTAACAACAGTGCTGTGGACCCTGGGGTGAGGCTGGGAGCAATGGCTGGAGAAGGGCTCTTGGCATCTTCACGAATTACCACATACCAGCTTGTCAAATGGGAGCACTCGGCAGGAAGCTCAGAGTCCTACCAAGTTGCTGTGGTTCTGGAGTAACTCTCACGGGTCTGTTAAGTTTAATGTTGGGTCTCAAAGATGGCATCGTTGGGTGGTAACAGAACATTTGAAAAAATGGGCCTTTATGAGCGGTCCATAGGCCACTGTTTCAAAGGGGATGAGGTGACCCTAAATCTCAACTTCTGCCGGGAGTCTCTGCTGCTGAGAGACACGAGAATAAAGCAGGCAGAGGGCATCTGTCCAGAGAAGGCTGGAAAGAGCTGGCTTCCAGAGCATTTTCAGGCTGGGGAGTTTTATGGAGAAGATATGCAACCTGAAGGCCTGGGAATGGATTCTGCTACAACTCCCTGTGCACTTATCTACAGCTTGGGAATCTCCAGGTTCTCTGAAGACAGTCTCTGGTCTGACAGTCAACGGCTTAGATGACTTAGAGGTCCCACCCCAAGACAAGTTTTTCCAGCTCATAGGACTACGGAGATGGCAGTAAGAACTTGGCTCTGACCTACTCAGAGAAAGCCCACAGTCTGTGCCTTCTGATATGGCCTTGCAGTTGGAATGTACAGCACCACCATAAAGTACTCACGCTTGAAAATTAAAATAAAATAAAAAAATAAAATCTGGGCTTGCAAAACTGCTGGGGGCAGGATGAGGGGTGTGGCTTTCCTCCAAGCCTAAAAACATGAGTCTGATCCTCAGGTTACACATGGCGGAAGGGGTGAACCAACTCCTGCAAGCTGTCCTCTGAACTCTACATGTGTGCTGTAGCAGAGGTATGCTCACACACGAACACACACACACACAAAAAAAATTGATTCATTCAAATGATTTTCAAAGAAAGATAAAATCTGAACTAAGCCTCTAGGTCTAACTCTGAGTTTGCAGAGATCAAGAACAGAACAAGAGAAACTTGTTCCGCCAAACTCAGAATGTGGAATGTTCTAGAAACAAATACTCAGTTTCTCCAACAAATGATCAGCTTGTGGGGTTGCCATGGGGGAGACTTGATGGACTTAGAGAACACAGCCAGCAAATTTCCTTTGGATCCAGCTCTTGCAGAACAATAGCGCCACAGGGCCCCTTGGAATGTGAATATGGAATCCCTCACAGAGAGGAATTGCTGGTTGCCTTCTGTCAGATGAGATGCTGCCATACTGATTTACAAGAAGTCACTCAGTTTGAGATACATATTGAATTTACAGGTGAAATTACATGGATCTGGGATTTGCTTTTATAAAACATTCTCAGTTCCCAAGAAGGCGGAAGGGAGACAGATAAAATGAGATTTGCCAAATGTCAATCATGACTGAAGGTGGGTACTGCGTACGGAGGATATAGATTATGGGTGGGTTTTTTTTTTCCTTGTGTGCTTAAAAGTACCTAAAATTAAAAGTCCTGGGGCTGGAGAGATGGGGAAGCAGGCAAGGGCACAAATTGTTCATACAAATGACAAGTTCTATTCCCAGCACCCATAGCTGGAGTCTTACAACCTCTTCAGCTCCTGTGAAGTCTGACATTGCTGACCTGTGGAGGGGGCACCTGTACTCAGATGCACATTATCACCCCTGCAACCCTGCCCCCGACACATACCCAATAAAGATACAAATAAATACTTTTAAAAGTCCTTCAAGGGGCTGGAGAGATGGCTCAGTGGTTAAGAGCACTGACTGCGCTTCCAGAGGTCCTGAGTTCAAATCCCAGCAACCATATGGTGGCTCACAACCATCTGTAATGAGATCTGATGCCCTCTTCTGGTGTGTCTGAAGACAGCTACAGTGTATTCATATATAATAAATAAATAAATCTTTAAAACAAAAAGTCCTTCAAGGAGGAGTGGAAGGAGATATTAAATTTGTGCCATTTATCAGGCTAGGCCGGTCTTGATGTCATCTCATTTCCTAAGTGATGAACCATTCCCTTCTCCATCAAAAGAGTGGAGAGTACCTCGCAAGCTGGAGAGTGAAGACAGTCAGCGATGAGGAGTTAGCTTTTACAGAGCACATCAAGACAGTGTGGAGAAGGGCTGGCACCAGCCCCAGGAGGGAAAGATTAGAATCCACACACTTCACCCACTGAGAACTCACCCCTGCGGCAAAGCCCAGGCTGCCATCTAAGATCCGCCTCTGCAAAAGAAAACAGGAGACGTTTCAGTTTCCAAGGAACGCAGGATGGTGTGGCCTCAGTTAGGAGACTGCCATAAAGCCCAAAGGGCTCAAAGGTCACTGACCTACTTCTAAGCTGGTAGTGACCTACTGACCTTATAGAATGATCCAAGAACAGGGCCAGGAGGGGGAGAACATGAACACATAGATAAACATGACACCCATTCCAGAGTCAACCAGAAGTACCCTTGGCAGGGGGCGGGGGTCTTGGAGTGTACAGGTGAACATCTACGTTCTTATCCAGCACCCCATGCCCTAAGGAAGTAGTTGAGCTAAACTGTTGAAATGACCAGTGGCTAGTGAGGAACACAGGAGCAACCCAAACAGTCATACGGGTGGGGACACAAACAGGCACAACCACGTCACACAGAAAGCCATGTAGTGGGACTAACAGCAAGTGACTGCAATGTGCATGTCACTGATGAGAAATGACAGAAATGCATGCTGGGAATCACCAAATCCATGCACTGTTTCCAAGAGCCCAAAACCAGAGACTGAACAAAGTCTCCCTCCACAGTAAAACAGATATACCAACGAGAACAACCGAATACCACAGGGCAGAGAAAACATGCCCACACATCACATACACAAAGAACGCATTGTGTATACGCATGTATGTACACAACAGGCAGAAGCATTAAACTGGGAACTGAGCAGGGTGGATTCAGCCTGACACAGAACAGTACCGGCTATGTGAGCAGAGAACATAACGACGGCACCCAGACAGGGATGTCTACACTGTGGGAGAGACGGGCAGCGTGGGAGTGTTTTATATGGAGTGAAAGTCTGAATGGGCGTGGTGACTGGGAAGGAGCCTGAAGGGACCGTGAGAAGCTGCCACTTGATCTAGGCCCAGATACCCCAGATACATGGGCCTTTATAAAATAATAATCAAACCCCATAGGTATAAAATGTACACCTTTCTATGTGCATCTATTCCAATAAAAGGATGTTCTTGCTTCCATCATACCCCGTGGATAATCACTTGTGGTCTGTACACACAACAATGCTCTTCAGCATGAAAAGGGGGAGAAGCTCATGCATGGCTTCTCCACACCCACTCAACATCCGTCCTCCTCCTCCTCTTCCTCCTCCTCTTCCTCCTCCTCCTCTTCCTCCTCCTCCTCTTCCTCCTCCTCTTCCTCCTTCTCTTCTTCCTCCTCTTCTTCCTCCTCCTCCTCCTCTTCTTCCTCCTCCTCTTCCTCCTCTTCTTCTTCCTCCTCTTTCTCCTCCTCCTCCTCCTCCTCCTCCTCTTCCTCCTCCTCCTCCCAGCTACTGCCAAAAAGCCATTCCATTCCCTAACTATGAACTTGACCTCCCTGGGTGTCTTACGCACTGAAATCTTGAGTACCCTGAAATTCCTGGTTGTGTGATTTGTGATCCGAGTCTCCAAATGATAGATTTGTGCTAAGCACCCTCCCCCAGCTAGGCTGAGGACAACAGTGTGGGAGGCAGGAGAGTAAAACTGAAGCCAGGACCTGCCAAACTGGTCCATAAGACAAGGGGCCTGAGACACTGACTTTCTAGACAAGTCTTTCTTTCTAGATCCAGGGCTCGGTGTGTTTAAAGAGATCTGAGTCGCCTTCTCCTGCAGCATCTACAAGTGCCCTTGATTGAGCAAGGCGAGGGTTACAGTCTTCAAGAGTGGCTCTGGGCTGGAAACGGGAAGCAGCTCAGGGTTGCAGGAGAATAGGATTTCAGGCACAGGAAGCGGGTGTAGAGTAAGGGAGGGTGTATAGAAGGTGGATGAGGGGTGTCAGGGATGTGGGGTGCAGAGGAAGAAAAGATGGGGAGATACACAAGATCTCATGAGGATGTGAGGCCAGAACATAAGGCCTGAAAGTGACTGAGGGCACTGGGGGCTCTCTGTAGGATGCTTGAGGGACATATGGGGGGAAGGGCTGAGAAGGCTCCGTATGCGTATGGACAAGGCAGCTAGCTATACTCATCCAGGAGAGAGGATGCATTCGTGGTAAGGGTGACATCAGAAGAGAGAATGAGGAGGTGGACCTCTCTGGATTCATTCAGGAGGGAGGGCCTGTGGGGACAGAAGTCTACAAGGGACTGAGGAGGGGAGCCTGCCGATCTTCAGCCAATGGGGAGGAATGAAATGCCCTGGGCTGGGGTAGTAGAGAAGCAGACTTCCTCCTTCCCACAACCCCTAACCAACTGTCTAACTCACTCACGGCCACAGGGAGGGCGGTTCCACCTGAAACCTAATCATCTCGGGTCCTGCATAGCACTCCCCGCTCCAGACATGCAGGACATTAGACAGGAGCTCGGAATGAGGCAGCAGGTTAATAAAGGCACAATAGCTAGTCCCTTACCCCCTCGCCCTGTTGAATCTGGGTGCCAGAGGCAGGTGAGGGGAAGACAATGCCGGGCTTGTGTACCACTAATGGGTGCCTGCTCCCTGGCCTAGTAAGGAAACAGAGAAAACAAGGAAGTTGGAAAACATTGGCAACCCAGCACCTGCCTGTGTGGCCGCTGCCAGTGCTCTGTGGAAAGGGGCGGGTTTCAAAGCTCACTAAGGGTCCCCTCGAACACCCAGAAACGAAGCGACTCACCTGCCCGCTGGAGAATATGAACACAAGAGCTGCCCCGGCTGCTGTCATCGTCCAGGTGAAGAAGGTCCCCAGCAAGGCCTGGGACACGGCGCTGTAGCCTTGGAGCATGCTGGATACAGCTGTGCACAAAAGAGCAGAGGGTCAGGTGCTGAGAGGCCCCGATTGTGACATACGTATGTCCTAAGCCACAGCCTGAGCTGCCCTCTGTCAGAGTGGGTGGTCTGTACCTTCAAGCCAAGCCAATGCAATGGGCCTCAACAGCCCAGTACTAGCACAGAGACATTGAAAGTCATGAAGGCAACATGTGAACACTGGGAGAAAGAGGCCAGGAAGCCCCCCCCACCCCCAAGAGGCCTGCTCATTCATGCATCTGTCCCTGCCTGCCATTTCTCCTCAGACCCTGCCAAAGAACAGGCCCCTAGCTCAAATTTTCCTCTAAATACCTTCTGATTCCTACTCCCACCTTCCTGGCTCCCCAAGCCAGCCTCCTGGCTAAACATAAATTCCACCGACAGACCTTCCACCCCCATGGACTCTCCAGCCAAAGTCCAGCAGCATGCAGTATGGGCGCCACACTCCCATTCAACTCAGTTCGTTAGGGCACCTTAACAACCCAGATAGCTGGGCTGGAGAGATGGCTCAGCGGTTAAGAGCACTGACTGCTCTTCCAGAGGTCCTGAGTTCAAATCCCAGCAGCCACATGGTGGCTCACAACCACCCATAATGAGATAGGATGCCCTCTTCTGGTGTGTCTGAAGACAGCTACAGTGTACTCATATATAATAAATAAATAAATAAATCTTTAAAAAAAAAAAAAAAAAACAACCCAGATAGCTGTGGCTCTGTGGTTCCATACCCAGAAGCCCTTTCGGGGATGCCTTCCCTCCACAGCTCCTGCCCTCAAAACCCAAGAGGCTCCTCTGAGGCCCACCTCATGCCAGATCTGTGACGAAACCTTCCATAATCATGCGCGCACACACACGCACACCCGCGCGCACACATGCAAGCACACACACCCCATGTCCAAACACATGTCTTTGTTGTTTTCTTTAAGGACCTGCCTACATCCATAACCTACTTCTGTAACTGCTTGAGAATAGTGAAGACACTTTCCCACAGCCTTGTGAAAGCGGGCATGGCCATCCGCCGCAAACTACTTGCTGAAGGAGAAGGAGCCAGCTTACCCAGAAAGGAGAGCCACAGAGCACAAGGAAATAGAACCATAAACAGCTCTGCGCATAGATACTGCCGGTGAAGTAACAGCGGAGTCCATCAAGAAAAGAAAGGGCCCTCTCTTGTGTGGACCCAGAGAACCTCCTCAGACTTAACTACCCTCAACACTGAGACCATATCCTGTCCATCATGCCCTAGATAGGAAATGTCAGGCTTCTCCTGTGGAAAGTTACAAAGCAGAGAAGTCCACTTGTGAAGCAGCCATGTGTCCTGGCACACACATACACATCCAAGCTAGGTGTGGGCCTCAACTCAAAGGCCTCATTCAGTTCCCCTTTGGCTCTCCAGCACCCACAGGACTGGACCTAACCCTACCTGGCTTAGCTCCCTTAGAGGGAGCACATCAAGGGCTACAGAGGGTCCCTCTGCTGGCCTTAGAGGAAGCCACGGTAGTGTGGGCAGGGCCTATGCACAGTCCCCACTCAGAAAAGGCTGTGGGCTCAGATGAGCACCCCTGGGTTCCCGTGCTATGTCTAGGGTCAACCCATTTATGGGTTCAGATTTTAAGCATACACAGCCTCTTGACAATTCGACACAATGAAGAAGCACAAAAAAAAAAAAAAAAAAAAAAGCAACAACCCACAATCAAGAAGCAAAAATCTAAACAACGAAAAACAGCCAAGTCTGACAACCTGAGCTTGGTTCTCGACACCGACCTGAGGAAAAGAACCAACACGCTCTCCTCTGATCTCTACATTTACACCATGGAATACACAACCCCCCCAACACACACACACAAACACATGCGCGCGTGCACGCGCGCACACACACACATACAGACACACACAAAAAGGTAGTTTAAAAATGCACCGTTTCCCAAATCTTACAACACTTAAGTAAGCTTACTATTTTGTGTTGGGTTGTACTCATCTCTATACCGGGGTGCAGATTGGACACACATAACAGAAGAACTCAAAACGGTGACTGCACAATTTTTAAAAAATTTAAAAAAAAACTTTCAACCAAACAAGTAGCCTTTTCCACTATCCCTGAGTTAAGTCAACCTCCAAAGAGCGGTGTGTGCTGAGCATAGTAGCACAGACTTTTTAGTCCCAGCCCTCAAAGAGGCAAATGCCAGCATCACTCTGGAAGTTTGAGGCCAGCCTGGTCTACTTAGTGAGTTTCCAGCTAGCCAGGGACATATATATATAGTAAGTAAGATTCTTTGGGAAAAAAAAAAAAAACCTACGAGAGAGACTTATGTATTTTTGTGGGGTTTGGGGGGGTTGTTTTGGTTGGTTGGTTGGTTTTGTTTCTTGTTTGTTTTTTAACTGAGATCCTGGAGCATTAACACGCTGATTGTTCCCAGTTGCTTGTGAATATGTTAAACATTCACAAAGACAGATATCAAGCTAATATCTTCTCACTGTCCAAGACAGATCACAGCCTAAAACACCCCCCAAATACCTCACTGTGTCTTTTGACAGCTACTGGTAAAAGGAAATAATTCTCATTTGCCAAGCAGCAAAATCAACCCCGAGGGTGTTCACGGCGGCCGAAAGGATAGGCAAATACTCTAAGTTCAGTGTATAACTGAGTTCCTGAGATGAAGAGAAAGACTGAGCCCCGTTCATCCACCACTTATCAGTGTGAGCCCAGCACACCTCTCCTTCCAGTCACTGTTGGAAAACTTTGGCTACTCTCTAAGGGTGGTGGAAAGCCAGTAGTCTGGTCCCCTTGAGAGCTACTTAGATTTTTTTTGTTAATGTAGCCTGGAACTTACTGTGTAGCAGAGGGTGGCTTTGAACTCCTGAACCTCCTGCCTTCCGCCTCCCTAAAGCTGGGATTACCAGAGTGTGCCACAATATCTGGTTTTTGTAAGACTGGGGATCAAACTCAGACCTTTGTACACGGTAAGCAAGCACTCTACCAAATAGCTCCATCTCATGCCGTTGGAGCTACTGAAAAGCACAGAGGGCAGGCGACACCCCACACTTGCTGGATCCCCAAATCTGCACCTTATTTAACTCCATGGGAGAACTCTTACACAGAGCTAAGCACATAAAACCAGACTAGCTTCTACACAGCTAATGGTTTAGTAAGACCTTCTCTACAGGAGACTGCCTCTGTCATTTCCTGTATTTAACAGACTAATAAGCTCTTAGGAACAGGACAGTGCAGCCATTAGCACCTCCAAATCATGCCAGGCAGTCTGCTTCAGACTTTCTCCAGAACTGGATATTAACATCATAAACTGGACCAGTGACCAGGACAGGAGACCAGCCTCCGCCCATCCTATAACTTGAGAGAAGCCAACAGCAGGCTGGGCCGCGCGTGCGTTTTCACTGTGGCAGCACAGAGCAGCCAGCTCCTACAAAACCAGTAAATTTCCTTCTGTCCTTCTCTGTCTCTTTCCTAGGCTTTTAAATGTTGCTTCTGCACTTCAAAATGCTGGTTTACTTAAAGCGAGGAACTGCCTGGGCTTAAGTGAACTGGCACAGAACTCGCAGGCCAGACTCTACCAAAGACGCCCATGAGACAGACACAGGATCGGGACCGACAGTATGAACAAGAAAAAGTTCTCTAGTCGGCATGCTGGCTCTCCAGCCTCCCCAGACCTGTCGCCACAGGTGGAAGTGGGAGGGGCCTCTGAATGGCTGCCATTGATACTACAGGTCCCTAGTCCCCTACACACCACCATGAAACAATGAATGAAGAGACCCTTGGCTGTGCACTCAGGAGCCTCGGATCACCGTCTCCAGCTCATCCTAGGGTGGAGCAGAGGGGGCCCGAACACCCTCCCTCACCCTGCCACCTGTCACAGCCCCCTGCTGCTCTTCCAGGACCTGTCCCTTAGGGCACCCCTTTGCAAGCTCCAGGCCGCTGCACATTCTTGCGACTGCCGGGCACCCCGGGTCTGAAGGAGAGAAAAGGCGACTCACTAGGGTGCCCTCTCCAGCCCCCTCTCCACTTCCATCAGCCCCCGATGCCACTCGCTCGCCCGGCTCCACTCCCGCAGTCACTTCCTGCTTCACTCCAGCACACGTGGCCTCCACCGCCGGGCCCCGCCCCTTCGCAACTGGCGAATCCTGCCTGGAGAATAAAGTCTCTGGTTCACAGCCTTCTGTGCGCGCAGGAACGGATGCGGGCGGGTAAGAGCAGAGCCCTCTCCTCCCCCCAAGGCCACACACATGCAGAGCCGAAGGCCTAGGGCAGCTGAACTCGTGCACACACCCCTGGAAGCTTAGAGGAGGCTACAGATACCCAAAGAAGGGGCGCTTTGGGCCAGTTCTGACGTACTCAATGTGGTCTACATCTTTTGTCATAGGTCCTAAGCATGACAGCATAGGTCCTAACTGGGCTATGGAGCCAGTGTCACTATGGGCAACATTCGGAAGGTCAGCGGCTTTATTCTCAAGGTCAATAGCTTCCACTAGAAGGATGCCCAGGCTCTGCATTCTACTTGAGCTTGCTTGCAGTCTTTCACTTTGAACTAGAGGCTGCCAATATTGAGGACCCACTGAGCATCACCCCAGGTCATGGGCTCTGCACTCCATGGCTGGGGGGTGAGGGAACACCTTGATTTGATTTAGCTGCAATAAAACGAAGGCCAGATAGCTGGTTCAATTTGAATGTCAGGGAAACAACAAATAATTTCTTATTATACGTATGCCCTGTGCAGTGTAAGGGACACACGCATGCAAACGTCATGACTGTTTTCTGGAATATAAAGTTAAAGGAGTGGCCTGTGTTGCATTTGGCAGACCAAGCAAAGAGTAATCAGGACAGAAAGACAGCCTGTAGTTGGAGTATACAAAGAATACATTAAAAGAAGGCCTCTGTTACCCTGTTATAGAATGGTGTGCCTTCCTAGTGAGGACCACTCTGCACACTTAGAGATGGAGGAAGAACTCTTTTAGGGTGATGGTCCAGCTCTCAGCTAATGCCCAACCAGTTCCCAGCAGTGCCATTAGCTTATATACATGCTAAGCTTAAGCCTTTTACAAACACTTCAGTCTCAGGTCCTGGATGCGGGTAACCCTTTGAACAACTTAAAAAGAGGCTGCAGACAGCAAGTCTGACCACTTAGGCAGCTAGGAGATTTACACCGCAAAGATATCTCCGCACACTGCCAGAATGACTTTGAGTGTGCCCAGTGTTGTTCTCTTTCCGAATAGTTGTTACCCCGGGGTCATCTTGTCCACCCGGCAGAATTATAGTTCTCTAGGTAAGAGCACGAAGGATTTCGTGGCAGACCTGGATTTAACCCTACCCTTCCACCCACCCCCTCCCCCAACTGCCCTGAGGTATGTCTTCCTCCATATGGGAAACCCCTAAGGGCTGGTTATAAGTCTGAGTCGTCTCCTTTGTCATAGGAATCAAAGTCTAATGATCAAACAATCTTGGCAAGTACTTACTTAAATGCTTACATCCTAGCATCCTAAACGTCTCTTTTCTCTGACAAGTCTTGGTGCACATTGCTTAGCTTTGGGGTATTTTGGAGGCTGTGCTCCTTAGCTAAAATCCACCTGTGTGATTTAATGTCTCCTAAGCAAATCTATTTATAAAGGAAGTCCTCTAAAATACCAGTTCTTTCACTTTGAGTTCCGAATTCCATCTACATCAGTCCAGCAAGAGTCAGCTACTCATGCCAACGGTCACCCCATAGTCTCTGTAACTGCGTCAGGAGGTGACCTGGAAGGTTGGTCTTATGTCCCCAAGAGACCCACCACCTCCCAGGCCAGGCAAGGTGCCACACACCTGTGATCTAGTACTTAGGGAACTGAAAAATAGGGCTATGGTTAAGAACCAACCTGAGCTATACAACAAGACCCCATCTCAAAAACAAACCAACAACAGCTTGCTACATGAACAGCACAAAACAAGGCCAGGGGTGGGGTGGGGGGTGAGCCCATCAGTTCCAACACAAAAAAAGGTCACAGCACTCCCCCACTGAGCTAGCCACTACACAGCACAATGCCTTGGACCAGCCATAGAATTCTCTAGAAAGCAGAAGTAAATGGAGCTGAAATTAAACAAAACTGAGCACAGTCACAGACTCATGCCCGTTGATGCTAGAGAACAGTTGCACAGAGATTCCCTGGATTTTCCTACTTTCCTATGCATTTAAAATCTTCAGAATGGAAAGTTAACCAAGACTTTAACAACAACAAAAAAAAAAGGTGTACACCACCACCACCTGGCAACCAAGACTTTTGGTTGGTTGGTTGGCCGGCTGGCTGGCTGGCTGGCTGGTTGGTTGGTTGGTTGATTGGTTGGCTGGCTGGTTGGCTGGTTGATTGGTTAGTTGGTTGGCTGGCTGGCTGGTTGGCTGGTTGGTTGGTTGGCTGGCTGGTTGGCTGGTTGGTTGGTTAGTTGGTTGGCTGGCTGGTTGGCTGGTTGATTGGTTAGTTGGTTGGCTGGCTGGTTGGCTGGTTGGTTGGTTGATTGGTTAGTTGGTTGGTTGGTGGTTGGTTGGTTGGTTGGTTGGTTGGGTTTGCTTTTTGTTTTTGTTTCTGTGTTGCTTTTAAATCAATCTGAACAGTCTCTCTCCTGCCTGGTCCGTTCTTTCCTGCTTTGAGTACTTAGCCTCCTGACCTTCCTGAGGTCACAGACATACTTCTTGGGACCCACCTTACCTACCATGCTCCAGGCACCTGGTTAAGCTGGATAAAGCCTGGGAAGCCTTCCCTCCCGGCTCCTCTGGCTCCCTTCAACCATTTCTACTCAAGGCCACCGCCCTGTCTCTTCAGTCCCTAATTTAAGTCACTGTGTCCCTCAAAACTCAAAATGTAATCTCCTGTCCTAATCCTGGTTAGAGAACAGGTGTTCCTCGTGTTCGTCCTCCCAGGACCACAGGATGTTGTATGGTTTCTAAAAAATTTGTCCTGGTCTGCTTTCTGTTGGGATGATAAAACACTGACCATAAACAACATGAGGAGGTAGGATTACAGGTCACAGTCAGTAGTCAAGGGAAGTCAAGGGAGGACTTGAGGCAGAGACCACAAAGAAATGTTACACACTGGCCTGCTTCCCCCGGCTTGCTCCGCCAACTTTCTTTTTTCTTTTTCTTTGTTTTTGTTTTGTTTTTGTTTTTGTTTTTGTTTTTGTTTTTGTTTTTGTTTTTGTTCTTGATTTTGTTTTTCGAGACAGGGTTTCTCTGTGTAGCCCTGGCTGTCCTGGAACTCACTCTGTAGACCAGGCTGGCCCCGAACTCAGAAATCCGCCTGCCTCTGCCTCCCAAGTGCTGGGATTAAAGGCGTGCGCCACCACCGCCCGGCTCTGCCAACTTTCTTACACAGCCCACAATCACCTGCCCAAGGATGGTACAGTCCCCAGGGGGATGGGCCCACCCAGTAATCAGCAATCAAGAGAATGCCCCATAGATACACCCATAGGCCAAGCTGATGGAGGCAATTCTTCAGCTGAGATTCCTTTCTCCCAGGTATATCAAATGGACAAACATTAGCGATGCCAGGACTTGCATCCCTTCAGTTCACTCGGGAGAAGCTAACTTCACTGATGACGTCAGCACGCAGACCCAGCATTTTCAGCCTTGTGTCTGAACACTTGGTCCCCAGCTGTTAGTGCTGTAGGGGGAAGGTTAGACTGTTAGGAGGTGGAAGCTTGCTGGGCATGGACTTTGAGCTTCAATACCCTACCCCCTCTACCTTTCTGTGGTGACTTGCATAGGTATGGCTCCGATAGATTCGGGTGTTTGAAAGCTTGGCCATAGGGAGTGACACTATCAGGAGGTGTGGCCCTTTTGGAGAAAGCAAGTAGCTGTTGGGGCGGGAGCTTTGATGCTCAAGCTATGTCCAGTCTGGCACGCAGTCTCCTTCTGCTGTCTGTGGATCAAGAGGTAGAACTCTTGACTCCTGGTGCTATGTCAGCCTGGATGCTGCCATGCTTTCCGCCATGATGCTAATGGACCGAACCTCTGACACTGTAAGCCAGCCCTAATTAAATGTTTTCGTAGAGAACATGTAAACAAGAGATAAGATCAGGACCCAGTAGGATGCTACAGCAATGAGCAGTCAGTTCCTGTCAGCTGTGTGTAGTAGATGAGAATGATGTAATAACCCACGACGTAACGCTAGAGTGTGATTGGCCAGAGTGTGACTGTGCCCTTGTAGCAAAAGAAAGCGGGGGCTCACAGCAGGAGGCTCACAGCAGGGAGTTAGAGTGCCTTGATGCTGAGACAGTAAAGACCGCAGTGCCTGCCATCTTGCTCTCTGACCAGGAGACAACGGAGTGTGCCACCCTGGCTGCATCAAGATCTCTGAGCTGTGCTACTGAGGTTAGGAGGGCTCACCATCTTTAGCATTAAAACGTCCCATCTATATAACACGTAATAGAGGGTTTAAAAATTACTGTGCATGTTACATATGTAATCATATACATAACCTCTAGAATTTGATCACTGCCCTCCACTTCAACGGGGTCTCTCCATCCCCCACAACACTGCTTCTCCTTCTCCGCTCACCAGGGGAGCATCGTTCCATTTCTATCCTCCCAACAGTCCAGTTTCTGTACCGTGGGGATCAGTCTAATCATGTCCATGACTCCTTCAGCCCCCACTCCACTCCCAGAACTTCTCACTGCCCTTGGGGGAAATCTAACTCTCCACTTTAGCTCCTGGAATCTGGCCCCAGGTCCTAGCCAGACGGACGACAACCTCTGACTCCTGCCTCACAGTGTCTGCACCTGCTACTGCCTCTGTCTGAAGCACCTAGCTCCCAGGGTCACCTAGCTGGACCCCCCTGTCACTCAGACCTCACCTCAAATGTTACCCTTCAAAGGGGCATTCCTTGAATATCTGACATAACACAGACCTTTCTTATCTTCCTTGTCCTCCCTAAGGGTAAACTCCTGAGAATAGCACCATGCCTGCCTTGTGTACTTCTGTTTCTCTGGAACTTAGTGCACGGCAGATGGCCCCTATTTACTGAATGAATAAATCAACCAGGGATAAGAGCATTATCCATTGGCTGCACTTTATAAAGACTTTCTTAAGAGTTATTAGGAAAATGATGTGTGTGCTGGA